ACATTGGTGAATGCCACAAATTCTCCTAAATCACTCGTACGCACAACTTAAGAACAAATCTGTGCGTACGAACGGTTCTTGCATGAGGCCCATTGTTCTTCTGGAAGGTGAACTTCAGTCCAAGACTCAAATCTCTGAGAGTCCAACTTGTTTCCCTGAAGGTTTTYTCTGTACTGTAGTTCTAACATTGTAAATTACAGATGAACCGGTCCATTAGCTCTCAAGTTTCCTGGTCCCTGCTGATAGAAAACATCCCCATATCATGATACTGCCACCACCGTGCTTCACTGAAGGGATGATGTTTTCAGCATGATGAGAGGTGCTAGGTTTGGACAAAATAATTCAATTCCAGGTTGCAAAGCAACAAAATAATAATAAAACAAAAAGACCTAGGGGTGTGAATACTCCTGCAGCCCACTGTGAGGAATGAGCATCATATTTCTGATAAACATTATTCACCTGGACTTTTCTCTCCTGCACTTCTTTTCAGGGCAGTGTAACCAACAGAGAAAATGGACATCAAGGATACAGAAAATAATGTTTGTTATGTTAATAAATGATTRCATGTAATGGCTAGCAGTATTTTCAAAACACAAATAAAAGCTTCAGAATCTTTTGCGTCAAGTATTTTTTAAGTTTTTTTTTTTTTGCTGCTGCAGAACTGATTAGAATGAACTGTGTTGAAGTAACAGACACAACATRGAGCCACCAGAGTATTATTGTTTCGTTCTACAGGACCAAAGGCAGAACTCCAACTTGGAAAAGGCCCAACTTCAAATCAAACATGGCTGCCTCAAATTCAACTCAAATTCAAAAATACTTATTAATCCCAAAGAAAATTAAATTGCAAAATTAAATTTCCCAAATAAAAGGAAAAGTTGTGCTAGTTACTGTGATAAACTTGAAAATTAGCTATTTTGTTTTGCTACWAATTCTAGAGGCCTTTAAATGATATAAAGCCATCCTTCATTATGTTCTCCATCCCATTTTTCTGCCATTCTGTTTTCAGTCTGTTAGATGATACATATACTAATATGCACTGTTATGAAAAAAAAATCTATTTTTCACACAAGAGTGCTGAATGGAATCTTAATTTTTTTTGTTTCACATGTAAAATATAACAAATTTGAGTGCATACTCCTGTAAAAAAACAAAAATTGTTCTTTTGTTTTTAGACACTCTATTTCAGAACAGTTTTCTTAAACAAAATTGTATCATAATACCCTCCTGTTGTCTTCGGGTCAAAATGACCCGCCATTGTGTTAAAACCCCCCAAAAAATCCCCTAAATGTTATTTTTTTAACTTGAGATTTTAAGACTTTGCCTAGATTGGTC